CCGGCTCGCTGCCCGGCCCGCTGCCAACCCTGCCAACCTAGACCAGCCCGGCGCAGGCCCCTCCCACACGCCCACCCCCGCCCCGCCTGCTCACAGGCAGTCGTGGCGGAAGACGAGCTGCAGGTCTCGCTGCTCCAGGGACATGCCCGTGTAGTCTGGCGGCGGCAGCGCCTGGATGCACTCCAGCGCCGCCTGCTGCAGCACCGCGGGTGCCACCGTGGGGTTCAGCCGCCCCGCAAAGGCCTGCGCGAACTGGAGGATGCGGGCGCGGGCATACTCCTGCAGGCGGCGGCGCGGGGGGCGCAGGCGGGCGGGTCACGCGGGCCGGGCAGCTCCCCACGGCCGGCGGGCTGCCGCCGCGAAGCTTCCTGCTGGCTGGCTCCGCACGGCTGCCCGCCCGTTCACGGCCTTGCACCCGCACATGCATTGAAACCCGTCGCTCTGCGGGGTCTCGCACGCAGCACACTGGACGGCCCCCAGTCTCCCACCTCGAGGGGTTTGGGCGGCGCCGACTGCAGCTCAGGAGGCACCCGCACTCCCCTGCGCTCCTCCATCGCTGTCATGGCCGTGTTGCAGGCCCCCTGGGGGGCTCACAGCCGGGCTAGCCGCAGAGGGGTGTCCAAACACGCTCGGCCCGGCCTGGCAGCGGCGGGACACGGGCGGAAACCGATCTCACTGGCTGCTTGGCGGGCACAGGGCGTGCCAGGAGCGCCAGGGGCCACGATCCCGCTGCTCTTGTCGATGCCCCCACGGCCGGCTCCCGACGGCCAGGACGTCTCAGGGCGGTTGAAAAATGGAGGTCAATGTGCCGCAGGCAGCTTGCAGAGGCCAGAGATTGCCGCGCCCCTGCCCTGAAGCTGTCCTCAAAGGGCAAAGGGCTGCCGTGGCAAGGCCGACCTTCCACCGCCCCTGGAGAGTTTGGGGGCGCCGGGAGGCATTGCATCTAGACTCACAGGTGGTACGTGCTGCCTCTGGAGGCTGTGTAAGCGCCGAGCGGCTCACAAGTGCCCTGGCTCGGAGCCATGGGAAGAGGGGAGGTGAGGCACCCCAGGGGCCTGCTCTATTCTGTCCCTGGCGGTATGCCAGTCGTTTAATAGGCGACGCTGGTATCGTTCCGATCGGTCGGTCGGTCGTGGGCTCGCTGCCTGACCCAACCAGCGCTCCACAGCAGCAGAGCAGCCCCTCACGGAATGTGTGATGCGGCGGGGATGGCTGCTGGGCAGCCTGGGGCCTGGCGGCGGCAGGCGGCGGCGGCACCACGCCTGCGACTGTGCCCCGCGCTCTTGCTTGTGCAGCTGCTCCGGCTGCAGCTGCAGCTGCAGCAGGCCTGCCTTGAAGATTCAGGCAGCATAATTTCGACGGCTGCGAGGCAGCAGTAGCTGCAGCGGTGGCGCGCCATCCCCTCCTGATGCCCCACTGATCCCCGCCGCTTCCCCGCCGTCTTTACCCCCCGCAGTCCAACAACAAGAAGCGCATCGGCGGCGAGGAGTGGCAGCGCAAGCTCAAGGATGTGCGGGTGCGCAAGGAGGACATGAACCGGGTGGTGATGAACTTTCTGGTGACAGAGGTGAGGCGGTGCGGGGTGCGCCGGGGGGGTGGGGGCCGCCTGCTGCGCTTCCCCGCGCGCTCCCGCTCGCGCCGCGCCGCCTCCTTGTGCGGGGGCAGCGCATCGTGCGCTTGCTCACCCAGCCCGGCGCTGCAGCCAGCCGCTCATGTGCGCGATCCCAGGCTCTCGATCCTTTCCATCTGTCGACCACTGCCCGCCGCCCCGCCTCCCCATGCGCCCCGCCCCCGGCAGGGCTACGTGGACGCGGCCCGCGTGTTTGAGCGCGAGTCTGGCACCGCGCCGGGTGTGGACCTCGACCAGATCACCGACCGCATGGACATACGCAAGGCGGTACAGAGCGGGGACGTGGAGCAGGCGCGTATGAGCGGCGCGGGGGCAGGCGCCCAGCCCGCCGCTGCCGCGCGCTGCCGCTGAGGCCTGGGCCCGGCGTGCAGCCTTCAAGCCGTGGCCGCCAGCCGCCTGCCGCCAGGGCTGCCCGCTGTGCTGCCCGCCTGCGTGCCTAGCCCTGGCCACGCCTCCGCGCCGCCTTGCCATGCCACCCCGGCCCTCCGCACTCCCACCCGCGCCCGCCCCGCAGGCCATTGAGCGCGTGAACGACCTGGACCCAGAGATCCTGGAGGAGCAGCAGGGGCTGTTCTTCCACCTGCAGCAGCAGCGCCTCATCGAGCTCATACGCCAGGGGCAGCTGCAGGAGGCACTGGAGTTTGCGCAGGCGCGGGCGGGGCGGAGGGGGGGCGGGCGGGGCTGCTGGGCGGGCCAGGGCGCCGCTCCTGCGTGCCCCCGCAGTGCCGCGACGCATGTGGTGTGGCCGCCTGCAAGCACCCCGGCCGAGCGCTGCTGTGTGCTGCCTGCGGTGGCGCCTGCCTGGAGGCGTGAAGCCCTGCCCTGCTTGGCCTGGGTGCAGGAGTATCTGGCGCCACGTGGCGAGGACCATCCGGAGCTCTTAGAGGAGCTAGGTGCGGCTGGGCTGCTGCCTGGGGGCCGCCTGCGGGGCTGGCTGGCTGCGGCAGCAACAGCAGGCCGGCGCCTGCTGCCCCCGGCCGCCGCCTCACGCATCCTGCGCCCGCCCCGCTGCTCCCCCGCGCCTGCAGAGCGCACGGTGGCGCTGCTGGTGTTTGAGGATGTGCGCAGCAGCCCTCTGGCCGATTTGATGGATGTGGCGCAGCGGCAGAAGACGGCCAGTGAGCTGAATGCCGCCATCCTGGCCAGCCAGTCGCAGGCGAGCAGGGAGCGTGGGGAGGCTGGCGGTCTGGTGGGGGCAGACAACAGAATGTATTTTGCTGACCGCTTGCGGTGCTGGTAGGGTCCTGGCGGCGGTGGCGGCAGGCGTGGCTCAGCAGCAGGCTGGCGGGAGTGTTTGCAGTGGAGAGCACTCGTCCCCCGATCTGTCCTCCCTGCTGCCTGTGTGCCGCCTGCCGCTCACGCCGCCGCGTCACGCTGCGCTGGCGCGCGCAGGAGGCGGAGCCCAAGCTTCCCAACCTGCTGAAGCTGCTGGTGTGGGCGCAGAAGCAGCTGGATGAGAAGGCGACCTACCCGCGGATAGAGAACCTGGTGACGGCAGAGCTCGTGGAGCCGCCGCCTGCCGACGACTGACGGCGGCGGTCACGCGGTCGGCGGCGCTGGCAGGGCCCCTGCGCCGTCCGGCATGTACCATTGGTGTCCACATGCATCATCAATCCATTGTAACACTATATCTGGGCTCCACGAGAGGTTTCCAGCGAGCGCTAGAAGGTACGAAGACGTGACCTGGCACAGTCCTCCGTCATGCACAAATGAGGCTTTGCACACCGCGCGAGAATTTGATCATTCACCACTCTGCAATTCCTGTCACCATCCGGCTTGACGACACTCCCAATTTGGCACCGACTGCGCACGAGCACTTGCCTGCCTGCCTGCGCCTGCCGCACCGACGCATTATATGGACGGTGCACACTCCATCGGGATGCACCGTGAGTTCTCCCGCGGTGGCGAGAAGCACAGCCGTGCACCCCCAGCCTTGCGTGCGCTGAACCGGGCGCTCCTCCGCCTGCAGGACAATTAGTCAAGTCATCCAGAGCCTTCACGATGCTCGCACGCGCAGCCACCCCGCGCCTGACAGCGGGTGGGCGCAGCGGCGGCGCGGCGGCGGCCTCCGCCGTGCCACGCCTGCCCGCCGCCAGCGGCGTGTCTGCATGCAGCCCCTTCCGCAGGCTGCACACCCTGCCCGCCGCAGCGGTGGCGACTAGCAAGCTGTGGCACGGCGACAGCTTCAGCCGGCACGCGGTGCTAGCCCCGAGGTGAGGCGGCGGCGGCGCGGCCGGTGCGCGGCGCCGCGCACGAGGCAGGAGCCGCTCCCAGGCCACACTGCTGCAGCTGCCTTGGCCAGGCAGGCAGCGGGCTCAACGCACACCCACTTCCCGTCCCACCCTCGCAGGCCTGCCCCCCACCGGCAGCTGGCGCGCACGGTCGCGCAGGCTGCGGGGCAGCAGGGCGGCGGCAAGCGCATCAGCCAGAGCGACTTCACTGAAAAGGCGTGGGAGGCCATCATCTCCGCCCCCGAGGTCGCCCGCGGCTACAGCCAGCAGATTGTGGAGACGGAGCACCTGTTCAAGGCGCTGCTGGAGCAGCCCAACGGCCTGGCGCGCCGCATCCTGTCCAAGGCGGGCGCCAACCCCACACAGGTGAGACAGGCAGGCAGGCAGGCAAGGCAGGTGCCGCCAGCGGGCAGCCGGCTGGGGATGGGGAGGGTGGGGAGCGCGGGACGGGGACAGCTGAGACAAGCGGAGGCGGGCGGGAGGGAAGGTTGCTGGGCAGCACGCCAGCAGCTCCCGCACGCCTGCCGCCCGCTACAGCCCTCTGCCGCAGCGCTCTGCAGCCGTTCACCCAGCCCTGGGCCGGC